ACAAAATATGATCTAGTAATCGCAATATTCCATGTTTGGAGTTTTTTTCGTTTAATTTTCGTGCTACGCCACACAGGTTTGCACCTATTATGTATACATATATTTTGATATGAAGATATTATTACATATTTTTATATTAAATATGTGTATATTTAATTTATAAATAATATTATTTAAAAATATAAGTATGTATAAGTGCAAGCTCGTGATTGTACATTGAGCATTAAATTTGATCTACTGCTTCGTGATTTTTTTGCTACAATGTATCGTCTGCTTTCGTAAAACATGTATAAGCATGATTTTCGTTAGTAGTTCGCAAAGCGTGTAACACAAGTGTGCTGTTATTTCTTTTGCTTAAATTGGATTGTGTGTGATCGATTGCAATGGTGATACGGTTCGTAGATTTGTTCAAACTAGGTGAGAAACCTTCTATTGAGGTAATCACCTTTGCACAAAGATACGGACTCATAGCTCGGACTTTCAAGTGTCCAGTGTGCGATAAGGACATGATTCTATGCAATGCTGAATTTCTTTCGGAAAAATATCGTTGGCAATGTCGTAGTTGCAAAACAACGAGATCAGTGAGAACTGGTTCGTTTTTTGGCAAATCGAAATTATCAATGATCGAAATTTTACAATTGACATATTTTTGGATTCATAAGTATACCCAGATTCAGGCTCAGTGGGAATTTCAATGTTCGCCGCACACGACGGTCGACTGGTACTATTTCTGTCTGTTATGGTTAATTTTTCTTCTAATAGGCGGCGTGACTATTCCATGCGATTCACATTATATCCGGCAGATGGCGTTACCTCAAAAAACTTAAGTCACTAGCAGCCAACTTCAGTTCGGAGTCGTATACTGCAGTTTTACCCGGACGAGAAAGCGAGTTATCAAATTATGAAAATCAAAGAATGGGACGCGTTACAAAAGTTGTGAAATATTTGTTAATAAGAAAACATTTTTGACTATCATGCAAACCACTATATCCTCTATCAGCTCCAATATAATATTTATTCATACTTTCTACTTTATCAACTGATGGTCGTTATTGCTTAAAGTCGATAAAACAATTTGTAATACAGTTTCAATTAATAGGCGTAGTTCTAGAGGGTGTACGAAAATTTCCTTGTAACCTCAAATTGCATGTACAAAAGACGTTGTTGAATTCGATAAAAAAAAGTCTCCTGTCAAAAGCAAAGGAAAATGTGATGTTCCTGTCGTTTGTTCATATATGGTACGTCTAGCTTGCATAAAGTATGTATGATACGCTTGTACAATTTAACTACAGTGTCTCATAATTATCGGATTACATAGCCATTCAGAATAAACATAATATCCTTACAGTTTCCTTTTTAGCGATTACGACAAACTAATGCGACGGAATTTATATGTGCATCTTTATGTTTTAATACGCAATATCTGATAATGGATTGTAGCATCATTCCTCTTTTCATGACATTACTTGTTTTTAACATGTCAGATATATTCCTTTTCATTCAAACATTTTCCTGGCCTTGATAATGTACGAAGAGATATTCAAGGTTTACTAATTTCAAGGATATTTTTCTGTTCTTAAATATAGAATCATGTCTAAGCCAGATGCACCTAAATTAGTATCAGCCCTCTTTTCCTTCAAAGGAAAGAACAATGACGAGGTATGTTTCACTTATTAGAGACTGAATATTATTATGATACTTTACATTAAAATGATTATATGAGTGAATTATTTTGCAGTTACGTTTTAAGAAGGGGGATATTATAACAATAACTCAAACTGATGATGGTGGTTGGTGGGAAGGCACTTTACAAGACAAAACTGGTTGGTTTCCCTCCAACTATGTCAAGGAGTACCGAATTCCAGGTATATTTTTAGCTCCATAGACCTTGCAAGACATTCTTTTTGTACAAAATGTTTCCTAGAAGATGCTATATAATGATCAACGTGTAGTATACCTATAGGCAATGTCATGTACTGTTGTGCATTGCGGTTGCACTATTTCAGGGGCACGTGAATCAAGAGCTTATAATAACTTACACATTATATAGCATAATATGCAAAGTCATTCATTACTCTTACAGCTTTAACTTGTTGTTATTTATTGTGGAAAAGGGACATGAGTGTTCTTTCGTAATGAAGAAATTAAATTTATACAAAATTTCAATGTATATTTAGTAATATTAATATACCTAACAATATTTCTCAATGTCTATTAATATCATCCAAAAATTTGGAAAGATCAATGAGAAGCATACTTATCTTTACAATTATGGATATGCGTGTGTGGTACAAATATGGACACATGTGAACATCTGTCATCCCCTTGGCGTTAAAAATACCATCTGCTTGTAAAAATAGCCAAATTATTGTAGATGGTGGTCCAGAGTATCTCCAAAATTAAATCTCTTTTATGTGGTGGTACTCTTTCTAGATTCGGGAGGATCCTCCGTAAAATCATCACCAGAGAAGGTATTGCAAGAATCTCTAGTACAGCAAAAATTGAATCACGACATAGTGCTGAAGGACATAATCGACTCGGAGAGAGCGAACGTGGCTGAATTACAAGGACTAATAAATAATTTCCTTAACCCGCTGGAATTAGCGAACATGTCCGTAATAATTTAAAGGATTAATGAATGACATTATTGAATAAGAAAATAAAACTGTCAATGTAAAACTGTAAAACTGTCAATTTTACAGTTTAAAGAAAGAAGAATACAAGCAACTTATTGGCAATATCCATGAAGTTGCTGAAGCTCATCAGCGCCTCTTGGCAAATCTAGAAGCTGCGTTCCTACAAGGAACTGATGCGAGAGTAGGAAATCTGTTTCTTAGTCTTGCACCAAGACTTAAATCTATTCACACAACTTACTGTAACGGTCATCCTCAAGCAGTCTGCATTCTTGATAAATACAGGTATATCTTCCTGTAGATTTTTCTTATTTTATAAGAAATTTATGTGATTTTTTTTTGACAGAGACGAATTGAATGAATTCATGGAACATGGAGGAGCTGTCTCTCCAGGTATTCTCGTCTTAACAACTGGACTGAGTAAACCCTTTAGACGACTAGATAAGTACTCATCAATGTTACAAGAACTGGAAAGGCACACGGAGAAAAATCATCCGGACAGAGGGGATACACAGCGCAGTATTAGTGTATACAGAGAGATAGCAGTAAGTAGGAAATATTTTTCTTTCTATATTCTGAGTAATAATATCATATAAAATAATATAATTATAACTATATTTTTTTACCCTCATAGGACAATTGTGCCTACATACGTAAACAAAGGGAATTAGCACTTCAAGTATTAACAGGCGGTATAAAAGGCTGGGAAGGAGAGGAGCTAAGTACCCTTGGTGACATACTTCATGTCGGTCCAGTCACTCTGGCTATGGGATTGGATAGAAGAGACAGATACTTCGTCCTCTTTTCCACCACATTACTCGTCCTCAGTACAAGCCAGCGGATGAGTTCATTCATATACGAAGTATTTCTACAACCTCTATCATTATTGCCTTATAGAATTAATCCTCTATTAATTTACTTTCGGTACATAATTACCAGGGAAAGCTTCCACTGACTGGAATAAATGTAACACCTTTGGAGGATATCGAGGAGACGAAATATGCATTCGAGATATCAGGTAAGATTGACGTACTAAATTAAATAACTGATTCTTCTATCGAAACTTATCATCTCCAGGACCTATGATAGAAAGTATAGTGGTACTATGCACCAGCAGGGAGGAACTCCATCATTGGATCGATCTATTAAGCCAGGAGCAAAATACCGGTCTCTTAAGATCTCCCACAATACCTCACGTGAGTTGCACTCATCCACCATTTACACGACTCTCACGATACTTTGCAAAGCTCGTAAGAAGAAAGGTTATACTTCCTGAACTGCTGAAGCAGCTTCTTTACTTCCAATACATTTTTAAGCCTGACCTAAGTGACGTTAAAATGAGAAAATGTACTGTCACTTACATGATATATCCTACAACTAGTAACGATTACCGATCCGATTCTGATATAATAGAGATTTTACCATTTAATGAAAAACCGCGACCTCGGCGTAAATCTACAGTAAAACTCGATGTTAGGTATGAACTAAGCAACGAAGATCATCCTAAAACATACGTGAAGAATATACGGAAACCCTTAGCGAGTTCCTCGCTATTCGCTACTGTTGAGTATGAAGATTTTCGTGTAGATTCGAGATTTGAAACTAGTAAAAGTTCACCATGTGTTCTACAACGTGATAGAAATTTAAAAATTACTGAATACGCAATACAACTTCGTTCTGTTTCACATACTGTCGGCCCGGTTAGCTTAAACAATGATTCTAATAATCCACTAAACTATGGAGAAATAAGTACCAGGGCCGATAATCTGGAAGATTCAGTGAAAAATTGGAGGTCTATTCAAGAATGTAGAAAAGAAATAGAGCTTCCCAGAATGGAGATGCTGAATTGCGTCCGTTCCTCTACAAGTGATAATGACGACGATGATACTGTGATAAATCATCCTAATCTTCCTCCTGCAAACACAAGCATACATTCCTGGGATTCTGGAATGGCAGAGAGTTCTAATTTAAATTCGTCAGATTTAAATTCCTGCTACAAGTGTTATCGACACAGTCAAAAGTACATGGATGCTGTACGGACCTCGCACAGTGAGAGCGAGAATGACGAAAATAAATTCGAGTACCAATGTATTTGTACTTCTCCGTTCGGCTCGACTCCAAGGGAAAGTAGAGGTTCCTTTGAGTCATCTAAAAGCATTAGTAAGAATGTCAGAAGTGGCCCTTCGACTTCCAAGGAGTGTTGCCACTCGAGGGTAAACAGGAAGGAGGTGGCGGAGGACAAGCTGGATAAGGAGAAAGAGAAGGAAGAAGAAGACGAGGAGAAAGAAGAGTATAACGTTAGTGAATTGAGTGGAGACAATGAAACTATTACAGCCGTTTCTAAGCTGGTTATAGGGGATTCTAATCGTAAACATTTGACTGATCCTATACCGTACGCGCATCAAAAAAACATTAAGAAAGTGAGCAGGCGTGATGTCCATCCTAGACAATGCGTGGAGGAACAAAGATCTAATCAAGTTTATACCTCTGGATTGTACGCGCACTGGTGGCTCAAGAAAAAAATTCCAATATCCGGAAACGCTGAACGAGGCAAGCTTCCATAGCATGGCTGTTCAATCTCACAATCGGATTGACGATAACCACCGGCTGGTTTTTCTTTTTCTTATTTAATTGTTTTAATGCTGTACTAATTATTACCATGAATCTTCTTAAGCTTTATATTTCACAGCCATGTTGTGCGAAGTATGCTTTTTGTTTTGACTATTTTTTTTAGTTATTTTATACTAACAGCATTAGTGTTCCATTTCTTTAATTTATATACGGAGTGAATGAATCAATTTACATTGTACCCAATCGGATATTATTCACTATTTTCTCGTAGATGATCTCCTATTATTGGAATTGGAATTTTATAGTATGCAAGGGTATTATTATAAAATATATAACGAGTGTGTTTAATTAAATATTTGTATTCTTTTTCTAACAGATGGCGAATCATCACAACGTGAAAAATCAGCAACTGCCAGTGGAACATTGTTCGTCTCCAGGGATTAAAATACCTTGGAGTCTGGCCTCCTTACGACCGGCTCCTCCTTTGTATTCGCTCAAATCCTTTAGCAAAACAGATTCTACGGATGCCTGTCGTACAACACGAATATGCAGTAAGATTCATAATAATATTTGTAATGAAAAATTGTAACGATTCTCTATATTTTGTAATATATTTTTTTGTGATTCCAGACGAACGTCTGTTCGAGGAAGATGCACTCATATTAAAAGTAATAGAAGGTTATTGTCTAACTGTCAATGCCAGGTTTACTGTACATTCTGGTAAGTTGGAGAATCGCCTAAAATCGTTATGTTGCAGTTGTAATGGAGAAACGCACGAGTTCGCAAATCATAAATTTTAACGACACATATATACAGTCATGTTGATTTCTCTTCCATTAAGCTCATTGTCGCTAACACTTGAACATATAAAATAGAATCATTTTATCATCAAGAATTAATAACTGTGTTGACTTCAGAATTAGCTGCTGTGCCGTAAACCCGAAGTATATTATTCAAGATAATATTCAGAAAGAAACAACTCTTTGAATGAATAAATGTCAATAATTTGTACCGATTGAAGCGATACGGATAATCTTGTACAAGTCACGAACTCATAATCGTGAAATTATAAAGCCGTGAAATAGTAACGAGCGAATATCAATTTCAGCTATGTTGGATTGCGAGCCACTTCATAAAGCACGCGATAGAGTATCCTTAATGCATAGTAGAATTGGAAATTGGGACTCGTGCGAAGACAGGTACGTACATATTAACCAGCACCTTTTCCTTGACCCGGTAAACGGTCCCTTGGTCACACCAATTCTCGTGATAGTCTCTACCAGTTTCTACTTAAATCATCTGTATTTGGCTTTATACGTCGTCGTTATGTCCCGCGTGAAAGCTAATTCTGAAGTCATTTAATGACTACGTCTCGCTCTTAATTGTTTCATTGCTTCCTATGCAGGAGCCTGTCGGAGACTATTAAGACCTTGACGAGTCAGGTAACGGATCTGCAGTCACAAATGTCACAACTGACCAAGCAGTTGGACGAAGAGAGACGATCTCGACTATCGCTAGCTGCAACTGTGAAACGCAGCATTGCCGCTATGGATGGTTCTGTGCCTTAAATTAAAAGCAAAAGTGTACAATTATTTTGTCAATAGAGTGCTTTTAATGCTAATTCAATGCCCTGTGGTTGTTGTCCAGAATTTTCGGCGTATGGCGAAATTCAAAATCCATTGAAATGATTCCGGGTTTACTTTAACACCTTTCCCATCAAGGACACTATTTAAATATTATAGATTGGTAATGTTTTCAGTATTTATCAAGACATGATTATTAGAAATATACAAATCTTCGGGAAGCGAGTCACATTTACTGGACAATATTTAATTAGTATATATGTATGTGCTGCAATACCAGCCACTATCTTTTAAAATAGATTCCTTGGCCCTGAATCATGAGTGAGTCAAGATTAAACATCAGAACCACTGTTGCTCTCAAAGTTTATGAATGTTCAATTTTTCTCACAAAAAACACATGAAAATTAGGAATTTGTATTTGATTGTGATGTCTGCATGGAATTTGATGCAGGAACCTGCTGTTGTGAAGATCTGATTCCTGTTCGGCCATGTAGGTGTTTATTTTTTATACGTTCCAATTCGTTTACTCGACTCCGAGCATGCTCTAATCTGTGCCAGGCCATTTGTAAAACTTTTTGACTAGCATAACCAGAACCTTCATGTGGTTGACCTATCAAAGGAAAAGTTAATGATAAGCATCTACTTGTATCTATGAACGGCTCAGTATTGAATCTAAATACATTGAATTTTATTATATTACCTGTTGATACTTGCGTCAAATAATTTATTTGCTCGCTTAATTTTGATTCTACGTGTCCCAGAGTTTTCAAGAATTGATGAGTTTGTGTCTCAGCTTGCTTAAGACTGGATTTTTCTTTGCTCAGTTCCATAAAGGCTTGTCCTATAAAATCAGGTTTTTGGCATTAGACTGAAATATGCTATAACCATTACAATTCATAATATTATAGCTATAAACAAATGAATTATTAATTACTCACCTGCACTTTGTAAACATACTATAATATCTTTTTCAATTGTTTCCAAAATCTGGATTCTTTCCATAGGAGGAGTCATTTTAGATGGATATATTGTTGATTATACGAATTAAGTAACCTTTAAAAAAGTTATTTAATTTTGCGCCTTTTTGTCTACGCTCTTTCAGCACTTATTTAATAACTATATCTAACGTCTCATTATTGCACCGTTAACGGCAAACTTGTCGCATTCTGGTATGCTCCATCAGGAATCAGTCTGACCATCGAGGAACTAGTTGAAAAAAATTCCTTAGCCAACTTTGCGTGACGTCCTGATCGTTGCCACTATCGTTTTTCGCGGCAGATTCGACTGCGTGAACCTGGCGAGATGGGTTCGTTAGCCACCAAAGCTCTGATGGGCACTTCAACCAGAGATGAGTAGGGAGATTGCCAATGAGCCTGTTTTTGGTGAAGGCAATTTTTCTCTGGTTTCGGCGCGCCACCTTAGCGGAGGGCCCTCGAAGCAGTTCCACGTTTTTGATTGGTCGTATATATATAGTAATACTACGCGTGATAATCTGGAGCTGTGTTTTGGCGCGTCGACGCGCCACCTGAACGAGACTCTCGAACTAGTTCCACGTTTTTGATTGGTCGAATGAATTCGTGTGTTCCTCGAGATCCACGATTTTAAACTGGGTGAACACTCAATCGGGAGACTTGTATCCACCTTTTTTTTTACAGGATATTACATAAACCGTAGTAATAAGGTAGTCAATACCCTTAATATCCATATGAAGCTCTGGAAATAATAGAGTAAGCAAATAAAACTTTTAAAAACTCTCGAACGTGGGTAACTACACAAATATAAGTTTGCTAAATAATATACCACAATGACTCAATAGCACACGTGCTTGGTGCTGGATTAACGTCCGAGAGT